TGGACGCCGACGGGAAGGCCGACGGTGAGCGGCGCCGTCGACGAGGTCGGGTCGGCTCGGGGCCAAAGTCGAGGTCGGGGCCAAGGTCAAGGTCAGAGTCAGGGGTGGTATCGAGGTCGGTTTCAAGGTCAGGACCGGGGCGCGGTGGGTCAGGGGTGCGACCCTGGTGAGAACCGGGATCGGGGTCGGGGTTAATTCCCCGTCAGTGGATTGTGGGGGGATTTTCTTACGTCGGAGCGTGCAAACGGCGGCCGCAGCTCCGTTATGAGAACACGAGGGAGGAATGCTGCCACCTCTTGCTCCAGCTTCGTCGCACATAACCGGAGCAGCATAATGTGACCGCGTTGCCAGGGCTTTGGATTATGCCCACGCACGACGTCCATGTAGCGCTTATGACAGACGGAGGCCATTTCCTATCGCAGCTGAAGCACAGCATCCGTCCGCTTTGTAGTATTTTTAGAAGAATGTTAGCTGTTCGGGCGGGGTCTTCGTTAACGGCCCCTCCCGCGCCCTAAGTGGGGATGGTACGTCACGTGTCAGCAATCACGTGCTAATGTACACCTGCTCACCCACCACTTGTAGCTGACTGAGGACAAGTGTGCTGTATGCGTGACTGATCCCTCACTTGACGACCTTCGACCTTCAGTCGGCGACTCCTGTTCGAAAACACAACCTTGTTGCCAATGAATGCATGCTTCATGGACGGTTGTTCAGCTATGCTCCTATCTGCACCTTGACCCTCCAGATCTATGATTTTTAGATATATTTGTGTGCATCGATAATATGAGGGTAGCTTTCATTTGTGAACACATTTTCGCTCGCAGCTAGACGACGAAGGGGTAAGATATGGCATGGCATTGCGGTGATTGTGGGGTGTAGTTTCGTGTTCGCTCTCCCCAATGTTCTACTTTGTATCATGCTTGGCCACGTGCTTACACTGCACTTCCGTCTTCCGGTTGGGCATTTTCGCTCTTTCTCATTCTCTGCTCCCTGTGTTCCATGCTGTTCTCTGTCTTTGATTGGTTACATGATAACGTATTTCTCTTTGCATGGCCCCTAAAATATGGGTTTACCCCTCGTTCTCTCTTTGTGTGAGCTTGCGCTTATCGAGGGCGCTCTGTGCACTCCTGGAGATCCGTATCTCGAGTATATACGTAGGTGCGTGTCAGGCGTCCTGTTATCAGGACCTCTGCGTTGTCAAGGCTCCCGCGTACCTTACCGACACGGAACCGAATGTATTGGGAGGTATTGCTGCCCACCTGCTGGGTACAGATCCGCCACTACATCCGTCTCCAGATCCGTCGCCAGATCCATCTGGGTTCGGTGTGGCGCGCACTGTATGTGTGTTGTGTACGTGTGTCGCCGCCGGCGACGGTCCGTGCCCAGGCGGTGGCGGGCCGGGCCGGGCCGGTCCGCCACTGCGCGTAGCGTGCCAGCCGACGCCGCCGCGGGCCGCCCACACGCCGTCGGCTAACTGGCGCCCCTGGCTGGCAGCCAAGCACATGCTGCCGTTCTCCAGCATCCACGCGCCGCCGGAGGACTTCAAGTCGGTGAACCGGCGCTGCTTCATCCCCAACCACCCGATCCGCGTGCAGGTCACGGGCTTCGAGCGCACGAGCACCTCCAACCTGCTGAACCCGTACTTGTGAGTGGCGCCGCCGGGTGCGGCCGCGCTCGGGCCCCATTGGCGCGAGCTGCGCCCGTGCCGACGGAGCCCACTCGTGATGCGGCTGACTGTGGACGTGGGGCGAGTCAGGCTAGTGGCAAACGTTCAGGACAGCGTCTCGCGGCTGGTGGTGAGCCAGTTCACGCCTATATAGTTTTGTCTGCCCGTGGCGCGGCCTCGGCTGTACCTGCCTTGCCTCCGAGTAATGCGATTGTTCGTGAGAACCTGGCCGCGGTCAGGAACCTGAACGGACCTGGCCGTGGCGAGAGCGGTATGTGGGGGCGGGCGCTATGAAGTGCCTGACATCAGCCTCGCTGTCCCCTGGGCAACAGTTGTGTTGGCAGCGAGGGACGTGCATCCAATGCGTTTCGGCTGAGACTGTTCCCTGTAAGTGGCCCTTGGCTTGGCTTGGGACAGCGCTTTTTAACTGTGGAAGCAGCCAGCCTTTCGTGTCCCGGCAGCATGTCTCAATAACAGGATGACGTCATAAGCGGCAACCCGGTCTATTTTTGGCGCATCCGTGCGTGCTATATTTCATCAACGGTCTTTCGCGTTAAGTTTTTTCGATGTGACCTTTTGCGATACGTTGCTGCCCTGGCAACGGGGTGTCGAAATTGCCAGTGCTAGCGCCGTCTCAGGCTCGTCGTCTAATGATTCCGGTTGCACACAGATCCGCCCGTGTTTTGCGGTGGAGTCCTGGCTTTTGATCCTTGTGAGGACATTCGCTTCCATTAGGCCCTGGTACACAGAATAGACCGCCCATTCCGAGCACCTGGTGTTTCAGTGAGACCCAGTCCCGTGTTCCCGCGAGGCCGTGACTGGTTGGCCATGCCGCAGATATAAGCTGGAATGTCAACACGGGCCGTTCCGGTGGGTGATCCGGCGCCGCTACAAGCACTTCAGCAGCCTGCACAAGTCGCTGAGGCTCTTCCGCACGGCCATGCGACTGCCGTTCCCCACGCGGCACCACAAGCTGCGCCGCAAGACCTACATGCAGGGCAACAAGGCCAAGGATCAGCCGGCAATCCCCAGGTGAGGAGGCGGCGGCGGAGCGGAGACGGTCGGAGCCGAGGCGGCCCCCTGGCAGCGACGTGACGTGATGGTGCCCAGGTGATGGTACGGAGACGGTCGGATGCGCACAGCGTTCCACTCCAAATGTCTGAGGCGGCCGGGCTCTGAGATCAGTACCCGAAGTGCGCAGAGTGTTTAGGAGACTCACCCTCGTGGCCAGTGCACCTTGACCTTCGCTCGCCGTACACTCAGCGGGCTCTTCAAAATTTAGCCACTTCTCTGCGGACATATATAAATATTAGCGTGGTTGATTCCCGTTAAACATGAATGAAGGGTTCGTGTACAACGGTGCCAAAATCAAATGGACCTTATTTATGTAGCTTGTTGGCAGCTGGCAAGGGCAATTTGTCTTGACGTATGTGCATGGCGTATGTTGTCGCAGAATACCGACTTCACTCCTGGGTGGGCCCTGTCCACGTGGTCACTATATTTGAGGTACTCTTTAGCTGTCATCCGGCGATGTGCGTGCCGCCCGGCCGTTCTGTACACCCACCGGGTGCCGAGGCCGCTGTCTGGCCGTCCGCACCACAGTCGGCCGCCCTGCCGCCAGGATGCCGAAGCGCGGCGACTCGATGCTGACCGAGGACGAGCTGCCTGAGCGCATGAAGCAGCTGGAGGAGTACATTAACGCCGTGCTGCGCTCGCGGCTCTACCGCAACCACCACGACACGGTGAGGCGGGGAGGCGGCGCCGAACGCTGCGGGATGGCTCAGCTCCGCGAGCGGCGGCTCGGAAGTCGACGGGAGAGCGCTGAGAGGCTGGTGGTGGCGCGGCGTGTTTGCCAGGGGTGTGACGTGCCGTCTCAGCGACCGCTGAGGGTGTCAGCGCCGTGGCGCCGGCGCGCGCTGACCTGCCGTGACCGCCCCGGCAGCTGGAGTTCCTGGAGGTGTCCCAGTGGTCGTTCGTGCACGAGCTCGGCATCAAGGGCAAGGAGGGCCTAGTGCGCAAGCGAGTCGGCAGCAAGCAGGGCAACCGCGGCCCCGTCTACTGCGGCCTCTGCTTCAAGTGAGTGTGGACCGGCAGGAGCGTCGCGGCAGTGGGCCGCGGCTGATGGCGGCCCGGCCCGGTCTCCGCGGCGCCGCCGGGCGGCCGGCGGCGGGGCCGTTCGGCGCGGCTGATGGCGCCTCGGCCCGGTCCCCGCGGCGGCGCCGGGCTGCCAGCGGCGGGACCGTTCGGCGCGCGCGCACCTGCGCCGCTGGCGTCTCCCATCCTGGGGTATTGTTCGCCCGCGTGAAAGGCTGCACTGGGATGACGCCGCCGGCGCTGGTGTGCCGCGGCCGCGTGCTGATCAGGGGTGTCCGTGGAACCGGCGGTGGCGGGGTCGATGAACGAGAAACGTGTTGCGTCTGGTGGCCTCGGCACCACGCGAAGGGCACTGTTGACTGAGTGCGCCGCTGACCATCCTCCTCCCGACGTGCTCTCCAGGTGCCGCAAGTGCGCGGCCAACTGCTTCACGCTCTGGCGGAAGCGCTGGCTGATGATCAAGGACACGTACGTGGCGTACGTGCGGCCCCGCGACGGCTCGCTCCACTCGGTAAGCGTCTCCGTTGTGTCCCGGTGATGGCCCTGGCAGGGGCAGGGGCAGCGGTCAGTCCAGCCGGTCGGTAGCAGTATTGCCGGGCGAAGACGAAGCCGTGTATGTCAGGCTTCCCGCAGGGAGGCACGTGGTTTGGGCAGTGCTTGACAGAATGTCGCCGAGACAGTGATGACGGGCGGTCCAGTTGTCACAGGTTCAGTGATATTTGTTGTGGTTAGTGGTTGGCGTTGTTTGTTGTTGACGATTGTTGTCGGGTCGATGGCGGCAAATCCTCGACGTCGACCGTCATTGGGCTGTGCGTCCGTCCGCGACCTGTGGTGACCCGTGGCGCCGCCCGCTCCCCGGGGCTCAGGTGATGCTGATGGATAGCGGCTGGGACGTGAACCGTGGCATCCTGGGCTCGGACACGGCCAAGTCGCTGACCATCGTCAACTCTAGCCGCAACCTGCTCGTCTCCTGCTGGACCAAGCGCAAGGCCAAGGAGTGGATGGACGCGCTGAAGCTCTCCTACGAGAATTACGGTGAGCGGGTCCGAGAGATCCCTGCGCACGCCGACAGCCCACCCACTCCGGCCCACGCCCACAGCCCGCTCGTCCCCACACGCCGACAGTCCACCCACTCCGGCGCACGCCCACAGCCCACTCATCCCCATACGCCCGCAGCTCACCCACTCCGGCGCACGTCCATAGCCCACTCATCCTCACACGCCCACAGCCCACCCATCCCGGCGCCATCCCGGCGCACACGTACAGACCACCCATCCCGGTGCACACCCACAGCCCCCCCCCCCCCCTCCGACACGCCCACAGTCCACCCATCCCGGCGCACGCCCACAGTCCACTCCATCCCGGTGCACACGTACAGACCAACCATCCCGGCGTACGCCCACAGCCCGCCCATCTCGGCGCCTGAAGGCGTCTCTTCCAGCGTGTTGGACGCTTGTGCATAGGCCTGCGCTACAGTCCATGCCCCTGCGTACAGCATACTGTCGCCGCATGCATCATGCTTTTCGACAGTCACTGCCACTGGACGGACTTGCTTTTCTCTCACATCTCCCAACTGGTCATGCTGCACAGTCTCTTAAAGTAGAGAAGTGCAGGTAATTGTGCTGCAAGTTTGAACGCCTAACACACGACTTATTCTCGTCATGTCTGTGAGCGATCAGTGGTGGCTTATCGATTGGAGCTCTTTTGCATGCCGAAATGTTCAGGTCAATTCAAGCGGACATTTGGATCTTGGTGATGGGGTACACTGCAGTGAGGAAGCTCCCTTCGATCTTAATTGAGCACCCTCAAAAGTACACGTACTTCCGGGTGTGTGTCACACGTCACACTTTTGTTTTTAACATCGCTTACTTTCGACGTGCGTTGAAAAAGTATGTGTGGACAGACCACGGGAGTCCGGCGTCATCATTCCGTACAATACAAGGCGTCAGTGCGGGAGTGCGGCAGCCAATATGAATATTCACGATGTTAATACATACTTTGTGGTTGCTCATAGTAATACAGCAATTCCACGGAAAAAGCGCATCTTGTTACAGGAGTTCCCCACCTTTGTGATTATAGTTCAAAAACGTGCTCTTGTGAAACGTCAGGATTAGGTGCGCCTAATAATAGCGCTAGGTAGTGCCATTACAGGACATTTCATACCTAATGGGAATATACATTTTACTTATTTCGAGTCCAAGTTACGCTGCTAGCGCTTTGTAACAGCACTACGCTTCTTCGCTGCATTCGCGGCCACCGTCGTCACGACAGCAATCGTACGGTGAGCGATAGCTGCAAAAGAGTGAAATCCCCTCAATAAAGACTATTCTGCTTCATAATAGCATTGCTCATATTGCTCCGTACTCAAGGAATTACATATTCTAATAAAGCTGTTTGTAAAAAAATATGGGCGCTAGCATCGAATAATAGTAAAATAACAACACACATTGTGCACATTGGGGAGTATGGCGTGAGGTGGGAGCTGACGTCAGACGTTTTGTCAAGGTTGAGCGCTTCTGATAGCGGCACGTGATGCGCCGCACCCAGGACGCGCTCGGCTGGCAGCACGTCAGCTGTAAGCCAGCGGAGGCGTGGCGGTGCGCGCTGCCCGCATTAGCCGGGCGGTGCCCATCGCTGCGCTGATGCGACGGCCTGTCCGGGTCGGGCGCTGATGCGCAGCACGCAGGATCTGTCGGGATCTGTCGGGATCTGGCGTAGCCATGGCTCTGACCATGGCCACATGCGTCATGCGGCAGGGCGGCGCTCTGTGCGGGCTTCGAGATTAATGCCCGCGCGGCGAATAACTACGCCGCGGAGGCCGTGGGTCCGGCAATATGATGTATGTCGTGAGAGCTAGGAAAATGTGATCCGGTGTTCGGCGTTAGGGGGCTCGGCCGGCGCTTCTGCGTAAAGATGTCGCTACATTGCCATGGCTCAGATGCGGCAAGCGTCCTATTACATCGGTCCTGGGCGGCCAGCGTGGAGCGCGGAGGCCGGTGCCACATACTCGATTTTGAGTCCGAATGCAGGGATGCCACCCTCTCAATGCGGATAAATCAGGTTTTGAGACCAGGCGAAGTCTATCTCATCGGCTGGCCTACCCGTTGACTTAAATTGACTGATTTATGACTAATATGCCATATAATATGTTATATGTTATATTATATATGTGTTATGTAATACGTTATAATTATGACTAATATGAGCCAATTGACTTAAAAAGTAGCATTCCTGTCTGGATGTGAGTGTAAAAATTTGGTTTGTAAGGAGGTAAAGGAAGAAAATGTAAACTTTGAAAACTGTTGCAAATCACCACATATTTCCGCTGTTATGTGTAATGTGTGCGATGGCATACTGAATCGCCTGTGCACCAAGGATGCTCTGTCCCTACCACAAATTCCAAGCATTGTGTCATCATAAGGTCGTTTCAAAAGCCTTGTAGAAGTTAACAGGAACGGAACGGAGAAACGGTCTTCTGAATGGACGAGCTCTGGATCGAGGCCATCGTTCAATTGGTCCTCCTTGACCTGGTCGGTCGGCAGACGGTCGATGGGTCGGCCGCCGCCGCCGCCGCCGCTTGAGCTCCGGCTCGGCCTTGGTTTGCCCTGTTTTGCCTGCTCACCAGACGCATCGTCTCGGAGTTGATTTTTTATTTGACGTCCCCGTACCATGGCTTTCACCGCGCCTCGGGCGGCTGTCGCGTCGCCACCCCTGTGGCCGCCTTCCGGTCACGCTCCGGCCGCCCCTAGAGTCCCCGCCCCAACTCCATCTCATATGACGTCCCGCCGCGCAATGCAGGCAAGGAGTTCGTCGAGGCGAACCGGTACGAGTCGTTCGCGCCGGTGCGCGAGTGCTCCTGCCGCTCTCGCTGGTACGTGGACGGCAGCACGTACTTCCGCGACGTGGCCGACACGCTGGAGGCGGCTCGCGAGGAGATCTTCATCACCGACTGGTGGCTCAGCCCGGAGATCTTCCTCAAGCGGCCGGCGCTCGACTCCGAGTACTGGCGGCTCGACCAGGTCCTGCTCAGGAAGGCGGTACGTGGCCAGGGCTGGGGTCGGCCTATCGCACCGCCCGAGACGTGGTGGACCAGGGAGCTCCTGAAGCCGGCACGTGGTGGGAGAGGGCCTTGCTGGGGAGGGCTCCGTGTGGCATTAGTAGTGTCAGTACTCGTGGCCGAAGTCACCCAGTAAGTGAAGCGTCGGTAAGCCCAGATGATCGTCAGCATTTCTGCTGTTGACTTCACGGGGTCCTTTTGCACCTGGTCCACATGCTCGCAGTCGTATTCTAACGGATATGTTGTGTAAGGCTGGCATAGCGTTGCTGTCCTGGACGTCCCACGTAATCTTTATCAACCATCCAGCATTGTCCATGGCTTGCAGAAACAAGGCATTAAGGTGTACGTGATGCTGTACAAAGAAGTGGAGATGGCGCTGGGCATCAACAGCTTCTACAGCAAGCAGAAGCTGATGCAGCACGACAACATCAAGGTAGGCGTCAGGTGTGCTGCAGGTCAGCTCGTCAGCACTGTCCCGTCTCCCGGTGCGCGCGCGGGGGGGGGGGGAGGGGCAGCCGGCCGCACCGCGCTCTGCCTGCCGCCCTGTACACGTAACGGGCCGTGGCTGCACATCCGAGATCGGGAACCAATCCGGCTGGCTGAGCCGGCCAGTAACGTCACACATGTGTTTGTGTGTTCCTTTGGTTTTATGTTGTTTCAAGAAGTGAAAAAACGGTATGATAACATAGATATACTTCTTGCGTTTGTGGGGGAATGTGCATATACAGTGCATTTGTATAATGCACGTTGTAAATATACACAGATATGACATAATATACTTACATGAAAGGATTCATGACTGATGCTTAGTCATTCACGCATTCATGCCCAAATGAAGAGGATTAATGTAGAAGTCATAAGACCCGTATCGGGGCGCCTCTCAAAAGAAGGAAGACAGAAAACAGCCGCCTCACGTGCCATTTCAACAACTAGCCTCCGCCCCAGCGCCAGCCGTCGCCGTCGCCGTCGTCTCCCGTCGCAGTTGTAGCGTTTTAATGATATGGTTCTGGAAACACGCCGCAAGCACCCGACTGTCCTGGCTGCTGACGTTTATTCCGTACATTAGTGCATGTATGGTGTCGGTGTTCGGAATTAATCGAAACAGGGACCTAATATCTGTGTGAAATGCTGGAAGAGATTGCGTCTGCGGCGTCGAAATAGTGGGCAAAAGAGGATGGAAGGAAAATTGTTTCGGAGCTGTTGCCGCAGACACGAGGAACTGGAAACTTTTGAATCGGAAAGACAAATGCGTGGACAGGGAAGCCCCGGTCCTTATTTGGGTTTGGTAGATGCTTCCGAATGTTTACCCGTATGAGAAGTATGGAGGTGTGTCCGTGCCGATCAAATCTGCTGCAAGTTCTTTGATTTCTTGCGGGATGTCTGTGCGCGGAGTTTTTCAGGTATTTGGTCCATATGTTTGTGGCGTGTAGTATGATTGATCATTGGAAAGATGTTCTGTTCTCAGGTAGCATTAGGGTTCTGGAATTTCTGAGTGTCCTACTAGTGTTAATGATGCGTGTATGTGGGGGGGGGGGGGGAGTATCTGTCTAATATAGTGGGGTTATTAATGTTTGGTGTTCATCAGCATGTGCAAACATGACAGCTGGTGTACCCTTCGTTAAGTACAGCTTGTGCCACCTTCGTGAGCGTGTCCCGTCCCAAGTCTTGTCTTAGTTTATCGGCGATGTCCTGTCTGAGGTTCCTGTGACGCGTCTCGCCGCTCGGCCTGTTTTTTCAGTCGTTGTTCGTCCTGTGACGTGATGTCAGCGTCAAGAGCAAAAAGTCACAAAAGTCCAAATTTGGCCTTACGTAAGTTTTGTGTATGTTACTGAGTTTGCTGCGATACGTGCACTTAGCTACGGTGTGAAGTGGTTTTAGGGCTGTGCTTGTCCTTATGCTGGCGATGTTGGCAAGTTTTGTTTGCCGCCAGGTGATGCGTCACCCGGATCACGCCAGCTCGGCCGTGCTGTTCTGGGCCCACCACGAGAAGCTGGTGGTGGTGGACCAGAACTATGCCTTCGTGGGCGGCATCGACCTTTGCTACGGCCGCTGGGACGACTTCTTCCATCGGTGAGCGGCGATGGAGCGGCGGCCGGCACCGCCGGGGCTGACCGCACCGACGCCTGGTGTCCGGGTGTCCCGGGCGACGGCCGGCGGCCGGCACCACTGGGGCTGGCTGCACCGACGCCTGGTGTCCGGGTATCCCGGGCGGTGGCAGGGGCCGCTGGAACCGGCGCACTGGCACTTGGTGTCTGGGTGTCCCCTGGCGGCGGCCGGCGCACAGACAGCGTGAGCGTAACAGGCCCGGTTCTGTCAGGGTCACGTCGACACATTGGCTGCTCTATAGCTTCGGCATTAGACAGAAGAAGTTCCTTTAGAACTGGAGAAGAACAAAAAGCCTTGACTTATTTTTTCTGTTTTGTTGTGTTTTGCTCAAGCATACTGTTTCTATATTTACTCAAAATAGTTTGTTTTTACAGCCTGCGTTTTATCTCAATAGCTAAACTCACAAACTTAACATCTTACCGCGCATTAACGATATTATAGTTTCTTCCATGTGCTCGAAATCTCTTTTTGGTTGGGGTGCTTGTAGGTCTGTTGGTGGCACCATGACAAATTCGTGATTTAGACGGGAATTGAGCGACCAATTGTTCCTTTTTTACTTTCGAAAGCCATGATTGCAGCAGAGTAGCGTGTTAATGTTTGTCGTGTCCTATTGTGGCATTAGACTCGCATCTTCTGAGAGCCCCGATGCCGCTGGTATCACGCCCCGCCCCCTGTGTCCACCGGCAGGCTGACCGACCTGGGCAGCGTGGCGGACCTGGAGCGGGCCGGCCACTTCCAGGCGCCGGTCACCTCCAGCACGCCGGCCGGCTCTCAGCTGCCACACACGCTGCTGGCGCTGGCGCAGGGCACCAACATGGTCACAATCGGCACTGTCACCAACGCCGAGCAGGTGGGCCGCCGCCGCCGTCCGTGCTTGGAGTGGGGGCGGGGCTGGGAGCCGTGCTGTGCGGTCTGGGCCCGGGCGCCGGCGCTGAGAACCGCCGTCCGTGGCGTCTCCTGGGCAGACGGGGGCCGGGTCTGGCAGTTTTGGCCGCCCTGGCCCGGAGCCTGTCAGGGGCGGCCTGCGCGCTGGGGGGGGGGGGGGGGAGACCGTGCCTTGTACGCCACCAACGAGATCAGCGACGTTTCCATTGTAAAAACGGAAGGGGGGGGGGGGGGGGCAGCGAGCGGTGCCTTGTACACCACCACCGAGATTAGTGGTGTTTCCCATGTCAAAACAGGGGGGGGGGGGGGAGGGGAAGGAGAACGGTGCCCTGTACACCACCACCGAGATCAGTGGCGTTTGCCATGTCAAGGCGTGTGACGGTAATGTGACGCGCTGTGAAGACACTAAGACTCGTAACGGTCACCTGACTGACTGTCACACGTTGTTGTAGACCGAATGAAAGGAGGATAGCATGCACGAAGATAGATGCAAAGGAAGATGAAGATAACAGAGTTGTGGAGGCCCCTCGGATATCAATTTCATTCGTTTTCCTGAGCGTGTTATGATTGATCATGCCGATGTGCGCGCTGTACTGGAGCTGATGCGGGCTGGTGACTCACAGTGCCGCTCTCCTCTTTCCAGGCCAAAGAGCTCCCTGTGGAGATGCAACCGCAGTAAGTATGTTTTGTTACGTTTCCCCCCCCCCCCCCCCTATCTTTCTCCTTTTTCTACATTCCACCTCATCTCCTGATTGAGGCACTCTACAATCAGACATCTTCCACATCATACATATATGCTCCCTCCCAATTTTCAGCAATATGTTCCCTTCCCTTGTTCCCTCGATCGTCGGGGCTGTGCTGACTGGCTCATGTCGTGCCCCTTTGATGCTGACATGTTCCACGGCTCCCTGTCCCCTCCCATTCCCGTCGACGGCACTGCCAGCACCCTTGGAGCGTATGACCTCCGTAAAGGGTGATGTGTTCGGGTTTGCTATATTTTGGTGAGCATGACTTCAGTCATAGATGTGTTTCTAGACGTGCCATGTGATGCGTCCATTTGTCCTCTCATCCTGTACTGGAAGCCGTCCTACTGATCCAAGGTGGTGCCTGTCTCGAGCAGTCTGTCATGTTACCCTCAATCTTACCGTTGAAGTATGGCGAGGCTATGCTGAAAGGACGTCCCAAATTTTGCATTTCATTTGATTTTGCAAAAATTTGCTGCATTTCCCCGGTACATTTTTATCACCCATTTCTAGTTTATCTCGAACTTCAAGTTCCGTATATTCACTTTCCTGATTATTCCCTTTGGCCTGGAGCGATTTAATCAAACACTTCTGTCAGGACAGCTCGGTGTGGGGATCCGCATAATAGCCGTCCAATTCACATAACCTATCCTGCGAAGTAAGCCCGGTTAACGGTCCGTGGCTACCGCCCCGCGCCGCCAGCTGTCCCGTCCGCCCGTGTCCGCCCGGTGTTGGTGGCCTGTGCACGCGTCCCGGGCCGTGACCGGCCTCGACCTGGCCGGCCCCGGCGGCGTGCCGCGCCTGACGCGCGCCCCGCCGGCGACGATTGCAGCGTCATGTCCGGAGATGTGGTGGACGCGGCGCTGGCCCAGGATGGCGACGGCTCCGAGCACGGAGAGCCGGACGAAGAGCTGCCGATGAAAGGCGAGACTCCGCCGACGCACCGGCGGCGCATCATGCGCAACATGGTGCGCATGCGCGAGGTGGCCAGCGTGTGGTCGCACGGGATCGCCGACCGCAGCCGCCGCCATCTGCACAGGTAAGGCTGGGCGGGCGGGGTGGGCCGCTGCAGGATGGCAGACAGGCGGCGTCGCAGCACTAACACGAGCTGCTCGAAGACGGTGTCAGCGGCAGCGGCATGTCTAGCAGCGGCTGGTCAGCCGGTGTGGTGCGGACACGCACGTGCGACTAACTCCGTGGGGGGTGCAAGGGACGCGGGTGCGTGTCGTTCGTGCCCCGAGCTGTCGAGCGTGCGACGGAGTGGGTGGGGCCGCGTCCACCCAGGATGCCGACGGCGACTGTCGACCCGTGGTGCCTCCGTCCGACCCTCGGCGGCCGCAGCCGCTGCCGGCGGCGCGGCGTGCGGCCGTGACGGGTGCGTGGCGCCGGCGGCCAGCCGCCTGTCTGACGGCGCCGTGTGCCGCCAGGCTGCGGCGGCAGCGGCGGCGGCTCTCTCGGCAGCCTTCCGTGTGAGTGTCCGGTGCGGCTGCCGCCGCCAGGGCGGGAGCACGAGCGTTGGCCGCCTCACGCGGCCCTGACACGGCCAGTGCATGGCGCGGGCGCGGGCACGCCGCGCACCGCCGTCGACCGCTAGCGGCATGCGAAAGGTTGCGTGACCCGAGCGGGCCGCGGCGGCGCTGACGTCACTGGACGCACCGGCCGCGCCGCCATGCATCAGAAGCACGTGACATTATGTGGCGTCGTGTACTCTAAGCACGCTTAGAAGTGGTGTTAAACGCACAGCACATAGTTGCAAAGCAGTAGTCCTGCGAAGCTGTGTATGTATATGGCAGAGGAACTGGGGCACCTACTTTCAGCAGTGTGTGAAAAGCAGGACCAAAATGCAACCTGTTCACTGTGGAAAAGTGTCTCATTCCACGCATACTGCTGCTTATATTCAGGCACTCCTGCAGTGCACCTGCCTGGCATTCGTGACGCGGCGGTATCCTGCCATGTTCAGGCCGTTCTATTGGGACAATCTTAACTGGGACCACAGCGGGCGCCGAGCGCGGTGTGTCGGCCACTGCGGCCGGATGTCGCCGCTGTCACAGGCACGGGCCGAGTCCACGTGAGCGGTGGACGACCCCGGGAGGCGACACCCGGAGGTGATTTCGGACACGCTGCTGTTACGCGCGGGTGATCGATCGTGGTGGGCCGCATCCGAGCGCCGACGTCACGTGCTGCGCAGTTACAGGCGGCGGCGTAGCCTGTCAGGCAGACGGGTTTTGAGATGTGGTTACCGGTCGAACGCCGTCGCAGCTAAACGTCAAGTTTGGGTTATGCTGTGTTTGTGCCGGAACTAAAGCTGCAGCGCTGCTTTTTTGAGATACCAGCATTTGAAAATGCGAACAACTAACAGTTAGTTTCTTCAGTAATGGACTGATTAATGTCACTGTCGTGGTTCAAAGACATGGAAGCGATCCTGACGCAAATCCCACGTGGTTTATAGATCCGGTTGCGCCATTAGCATTAGCCGCCGGACCCCGATCTATCATCGCGCATCTCAGGTAGATTCAGTCAAGCCCCACATTACTGCATTCTGGGTAGCAGTGCTGTGACGTCAGTATGGAACTAAGTCATATGGCATCAGCGCTATGGTGACGTAAAAACGCTGTTCTTTGTGAGTTGGTTTAAACACATATATTTCCATAAGCTGAATTTGTTTCGACCTAGCACACTCAATGAAAAATTATCAGCTGGGAAATTATCTTGGTTTGCACCAGAGCCTAGCAATTATTGCTGAAATGCGCTTCTAGCCTGCCCCTGGCAGACAGCTGGGGTTACCCATTCACCAGTGGTTTATCCCGAGGAACTCTAGCCGGAAGTGCTTAGAAACAGTCCGTGTAAAACAGAACATCACACAAAAGCAACAACAACATAGGATGGAAATGAGATACGGCGGGCCAGATGGGCTCGCAGCACCCTGGGACGAGCATTGGAACGCACACCCTGTAGCCCTAAGGGGAGTGTTGTCGGGGTGGATGCAGGGTTGGCCTACCCTTATGGGGGGGGGGGGGTAATGAGCGGTGAACCTCGGGGGGGGGGGGGAAGGGGGTGCTTAAATACAGCACGCCATTTCAGTTCAGGATAGCAAAATTTTCCTGTTAAATGGACCGACTTCTGGCAAGTTTTGCAATTTCTGCCAGTCAAAAAGTCGAGGCCCGTATTATCTCTGAAGTAGTTTAATCGGGATATTTTAGTGCAGTGGGGTATTGTTTGCGCACGATTTGCATGTAACTCATCCAACAGTATACATCAGCAAGTCAATCAACACCTAGGAGGATCACAGCACAGCAACAGCGAAATTATTGGCGCCCACCCTCCTCCCATTACCTTATTTTCACATTTCACTCCATTTAGGTGCCGCAACACGAAGGCATATGCACAATCATTGTCCATTAATTATTTTAGTGTAAGTTTTACGTATGATATGTGTTTATTTACGTATGAATGTTGCTTTTTACAAAAACGCTTTGCGCATTAAAACGCATTCATGCGCGTTGGCCCCGACGAATAGGGCGCGGGTGCTGAAAGTAGAAAATGTAGTTTAGTAGGATTTATTGTTGGAATCAGATCCTAGGATTAATTTGTCTTCAGAAAGGTTGAAATACAAAATGACATCTTTTCTTGTGACATTACAATAAAGATGTGAAACAAGGTCGCTATCAAGTTCAGTGGCAAGGTCTCCGTTTTAATAACCTGGCGGGTATCGACCAACCTTTTCGTAGCATTAACAAGAAACGATATTGCGGGCTACCAAATTTTAGTCCCATGGTGACGTCACGTCTGCGTAGCTTTCTTTAGTAGCCTTGGATCCAATAACCGTGATCTCAGGCAAGATAATGAGCGAAATCTGTGCTAAGTCTCATGCGTTTGCAGTGCCATGGCTTGCTCTACGTGTCGAATATGGCTAAAGAACTATCGGAAATGAATAAATCGATCTAGTGGACCGTCAAGAAACAAGATGCATATTCGTGCTCTGTCTAAGGCAAATGTGGGCTGAAATAATCAGCTGTTTTAAACGTGTTCTATGTCACAGAGTTATGGGCGCCGTCGAGCAAGCTCGATCGCGTTTTCGTGCTCTGCGGCTCCCGCCATTAGTATGGGGTTAGAATCGTCGGGAACGCTAGGGTCTTCAAGTCCTTCGGCTGCCACGGAGGGGGCATTCGCGCTGATGGATCCTGCGTCGCACTCGGACGGACTGGTCCTCTTCCAGTCCGATGAAGTTGGCTGGAAGGAAGGCATCTTTATTCGTTTAAAAAGCTACGCTGAAGAACCTCAAGGGTGCTACACTGCTCATCCGGGCATGGGTTTTGTGTGGCACCGTTGGACTCGCTCCATCATCAGTAGTCGCAGCTCTACAGGAGACGTTTTTGGTATTAACTTCAATTAGCCATGCTTCATTTGTGTTCTGGGAACCAATAAATGTTGTCCAATAATATATATATATATATATATATATATATGTGTGTGTGTGTGTGGGGATATTATGGCGACAAAATTGTTGACACATGTTTTCTGATAGTCCAATGACCCAATACCTTTTTTATAGTAAGGGGATTGTCACCCCATCCTGCCTACACACGTACCTGCATGTAACGGCCAATATCATCGCCTGCTGTCTAAAACCACACGTGACCGCGAAGCGATTCACAGCATTTTAAAATCGTCGGCCGGTTGTTAAATGAAGCTCAAAACCAATGCAATATGTATAGCTCAAAGCGACGGATGAGACTGATTTGGGGTGGACGTGGAGAACATGGGGTGGACATGGAGTGGACATGGGGCCGTGGAGAACTGGTCATGCCACTGTTTCGAATCTATGGCTATTCTCGGCATGCGTAACATGGTTGGTTACTGTGTGCACGATAAATCATATCCAGAAAATTGGACACTGTGATGAAACACACCTGTTTGACATCGGATTCGCCGCACAAGTGCAAGCATGAACAGGTGAAACATGACAAGATAACGTCACGATGTAGTTTGCATTGCGATTAATTCATTTGCTTATTTCGGGAAGTTTCTACCTACCATCATTAGACCCGTATTGAGTAAGACACGGCATTAGAAGTGTACGATACATGGCGGAAAATTAACCATTTTCCCCTATCGGAGCTGTGGGAAAATTGATTGGGATCCGGCGGCTAAGGCTAAAGCGAGGCCACGCAAATCCGTGAGATTGTTCCACCATTTTTTGTTCGGAGTCACAGGAGCGTGCCGTTGTTTCTCGAGAGCTTATTTTGCTCTCCTGCACTAAAAATGGAATGCGGAATGGTGTTACGTATGGAAAGACATATAAACATAGGCATAGACACATCGTCTGACTGAAAGGGGTGGCGGCCTACCTAAAATGTTTGTGAGTTGTATATGTGAAACTTAGGGCATGCTCTTCCAAATCGCATTACACCTGTCTTGCCTTGAGTTGTATTCGTACGCTGTAAAAGTCATGTTAAGTGTTGGTTCTAGCACGGTGGAATGAGCGCTGAATGCTCCCGGCTAGCACTCTAGCTTCCAGGATGGTAACCAATAGCGTTACGGCTGAAGACAAAGCGTAAAAGCGAAAATATGTCCACTAGGAAGCTTTGTTTGAACGGTCTGTCGCATCACAGCACACGCTGTGTTTAACAGCGGATCCCACATCACCAGAGATGCCACGTGGGGCTTTCGTCTGATTGACGGTAATGACGACCGGTCTCCACAAAATATCACGTTTCTCAGGTCTTGTTAGCGGCCGCTGAGTAACCGGCTGCCTTCCGGCTGGTCTTGGGATGGCGGGAGGGGCGGGGATGGGGCTGGCCGCATCGACACCGTAATGTGACCCGTCCGTATGTGCGCGTGCCCCCTGCGCTAGGTCGACACGCGTCGACTACGGATCGCTCCGGGCCTGCAGTCAGGACGCCATCGTCCCGCCCGACTGGATCAGGTGCTGCCATCTATCGACACCAGCAGGAAGCACGAGTTCGTCGGCTCAGTTTTGGGGTCGCATGCTTGTTGTGCGGTCTGGTGGCCTGCGTTTGGTAGCGTAGTAGCTGGCACGGATTTGGCCATGGATGAGCTTGGGTTGCGTGACTTATGCTGCGTTCTTTCCGTTTCAGGTTAAGATTTCGTCGGCGGGCCGGGGCGTTGCGTTCAGCTCTTTACCTATCATGGGATCTTACATATCCTCATTCGAAAGCCTGGCACGGCTATCCGCTTGGGCTTTGCTTTCTCTCGTAAATAAATGCTGCTCTGTTAATCTCGTTCACTCCAATGTCACCAATGTTGCGCTCGTGTAATAAACTCCGCCCACTTGATGCCCATCGTGTGTTGAAGCTCACGTGAACCACCCATGGCAAACATGTCCTCCTTCCACACGACTGACTCCGGGTGCTCGCCTCGCCCGTCGCCGAGACCAGGCCGCCGTGGCCCGGCGTGGGTCATTGCGCGCCGCCGCTCGTGTCGTGCGGCCGTCGGCGCTGCGGTGACGCTCGTGCCGCGTGCGCAGGGGCAGCAGCGATGCGGAGGGTGAGGACGGCCCGGCCGCCGCCGCCGAGGAGGCCGTGGTGGCCGAGAAGGCGCCGCAGGCACAGGCGGCTCCAGTCACCGCAGCCGTGGTCGCCGCCGAGGCCGGCATGCTCGACGAGTGAGTGAGGACGGCGGGCGATGGTAACGAGGGGGTGAGGACGAGAGGGGAGGGAGTGACCACGGCAGGGGAGGGTAACGAGGGAGTGAGGACGGCAAGGGATGGTAACGAGGGAGTGAGGACGGCAGGAGATGGAAACAAGGGAGTGAGGACGGTAGGGGATGGCGATGAGTGAGTGAGGACGGCAGGGGATAACGTTGAAAGGGTGAGACGGCAGGCGATGGCGATTAGTGAGTGAGGACGGCAGGGAATGACGGTGAGTGAGTGAGGACGGCAAAGAATGGCGATGAGTGAGTGAGGACAGAAGGGATAGCATTGAGTGAGGACGGTGGGCGATGGGGATTAGTGAGTGAAAACGACAGGGGGTGGCGATGAGTGAGTGAAACGGCGGGCAATGGTAATGAGTGAATTTGGACGACGAACGATGGTAATGAGCAAAAAGGGACGGCAGGGGATGCCAGTGAAGGAATAGTGAAGTTGGGGAGGGGACGAATAATGGGCCGGTAGCAAGTGCATGTGATAGCTTGTGTGCGCTCGCTAGTAAACTGAAAGAGATGTCGATGTAGGGCAGCAGATGAGTAAGTAGAGTGCACGTTGCATTGTCGCAGCGCTGGTGAAAACCTTACGCGTTTAAATTGTCAGCAGTCGAAGGAATGGTGGTAGAGAATTGGTGGCAGAAATAGTTCGCACATGCGTTATACTTTAAGTCTGCTACGGTGCCAAAGAAGGAAAAGCTGTAATTGAAGAAAGCCGAATATGTTGTAGCATCTCCCCTTCCTAGTCGCCGCGAGAAATGAATGTTAAACATTTGGTTAGCTGGCCCTGCAGTGAGACCTTACACGGAGTAGATCGATTTTTCGATACGGGTAAACCACGTCCGCAAACGGCGCAATGCTGTCGCTAATAGCATGAAAGGCTGCCAAGCAATCCGCGTGGCATCTGGGTGACTCGTTATTTGTGACAGCATGGCTGTCGCGACCACAATACTGCTTAAAAGCGGTTCCTTTTGCAATGCCTGGAAGTTCATCCGTCATGGTCCGGACGACGTGAACGTTACCCGCACTTGAAGGCAATGTGCTCAAATACATTTTGTTCGTATTTTGCGACAGCCGACGGAACGACGAATCAAGAGCTCAGAACACGTATTACTATCCATTACCGAGCGTTGAGCCGTATCGTGACAGTGCGAGTCAGAGTCGCAGGAGTCAAGCTAACAGCTGCCGGCTAACCAGACTCTCGGTAGATGCGGACACCGTAGCCGGCGCTGTGGTGCTGGCTGGCGTGAGTCCAGCCACCGAACATAGCTGTCCTGAGGTGGCGGTGTTGCTGAGGTAAACAATGGCGCGGGGCGGGATGCTGTCGGAGGCTCGGCTGACGCTTCCCGGGCGCCTCGGGGCTCGTGCTGTCCGCCTGGGCTCTCCGATCGTTCTGCTATAGCGACGGAACATGTGACGTACGCGGTGCGTGTCGTTCCCCGTCACTGTGGCGTTGTGGGGCCGCTCTGGGCGTTCGTTGAAGTTGGGCGGCACGAAGGTACCCTCCGCGGGCATTTATTGAGGCGGAATCGTCCGCTGTGTTGGCAAGTACGAAAACACTGACCAGGTTCGCGTCTTGCGGACTGGCTTCAGAATCCGCTGCGAATTCTGACGGTCCACTGTTGCGGCTTAGGGCTCCACGTTGAAGCCCGGGGTCTCGCGAAGCGCAGACAAAAAGAGCTCAAAAGTGGCTCATCTCATCCGCAGCAGCTGAAGTCTGCGTAATGCGCAGCACATCCTACAGTCGTGAGCTGTTGTGGAGTAGAGAGGTGATACTTTTGGCGCTTCTTCATCGCGGTTTGCCTGCCTGCGAGGTTAACGATGTGGCACCTGTGGCCAAAAACAGCTGACAGCCGCATAATCTGCACCGGATTCTGCAGTCACTTGACTAGATATGAACGAGGTCCTGCTGCGTTTGGGCCTCCATCGTCGATACTGCAGACCAGGCAGGTACAGGTCCTCCGCGGAACTATGGGCCTGAAGATGTGTAGTCGCTTCCGTAGTAGAAACGAGACTTAAATGTTCTCCGCGCCGTATCAATGATCGAATATCGTGCGTGAAGTTAGCGCATGCGTGTAGTGGTCCTTACTGCACGTAGTTGGTCGCAGGATGGTGTTTACCTGCACGTTCACCCTTGTGCGGACGGCCAGGACTGGCACTGGTCGGCCGGGGTTTGCAGTGCGGGCTGTTCTTGACAGGCGTGCAGTGGGAGCTGTGCACCCACACCGCCCCCACGCGTCCTGTCGTGCTCGCGGGGCGCCGGCGCCGACAGTCGGCCTCTCGCCGAGCAGCAGCGTGTGGTCGGTGACGTGGCCGCCCGACACCGGTCAGCGGCGGCAGACACAGACAGTAGCGCCGCGCTCGTCTCCGTCTATATGTCTGACGAGTTACGTCAGCCCCAGTTCTGCGAACAAAGGCGAAATTGTAACTCGTTCGGTCCATTTTCGTCTATCCGCTAAGCCAGACCCAATTCAGCCTGGCTGGGCTTTTAGTTTTGTCTGGGCACGGGCCGGTTTCCAGCTCCGGTTTTGCAGACATGTGGTTTGATGCTTTGTTGCCCACTTCTTATCACCGGGAGTCGAGCGCACATACACATACAACCCACGCACACACACACACACACGCATGCACACGCACACGTACGCGCACGCATACGCATACACACGTGCACGTAAGCGCGCGCACGCACACACGCACGTATGCACGCACGCATGTATGCATGCATGCATCCACGCACGCACGCACGCACGCATGCACGCACGCACGCACGCACGCACGCACGCACGCACGCACGCACACACCCATACATTCGAGCGGACAAAAAGCTGCTGTTTTAGACGCCTGCTTCTAACGAATGGTAACAGTCAATGGTTTATGTAATGGTGGATCGTGTTGTCTGGGTACTGGGCGATTTCCGTTGTGGGGTGGCGTGTTGTGAAGCTTGCTTTGTGTCATCCTAGTGTCAAGCAATGTCAGATTCGATTAACTCCTCAATTGTTTGGTGGAAATAATGTGATTAAATGGGATTTTGCAGTTGCAATACTTTTCTCGGGGTTATGGCTGACTGCCCGTCGTGGCTTTTTTGCGCATTTCTCCTCAGTGGAATCTCCGTCTTTATTCTTGAAAATATTACCTTTTCACGACATTATTGCCGCAGGGTGGACGCCAACCGTGTCAAGAAGCTCACCGCTAAGCTGTGGTTCGGCAAGGACTACACCAACTTCATCGTCAAGGACTTCAGCGCGCTGGACGCCCCGTTCATGGGTATGCTCCGGGACTTGGTCCAGAAGCCCTGTGTGACCTGATGACCTCTGTGTGTTGTTGGCAAGCCCACATTCTACTTCTGATGTCATGGGACAATAGGCGACCATTTCTCCTTCAGGTAATCAGTAGCGTCTGGCGGAAGGCGGTTTTCAATGCGTGACGAGAAAATGAACACTTGATGTGATCGATGAAATCAAGCATCGTCCGTCCGGTGGCCCCGCTGGTTATGGCACCTGTTTGTGGGTTAACCCTCATCTGGTGTGATTGCCTCCAGTCGCTACAAGCGCTCGCTATTTGCCCTTGACTCTGCTCGAATGATTTTTTTTTTTAACAACCAACTGGGATGGCCTGCGGCTGGTGGCGGCGGCCGGCGGCCGCCGCGGTCGGGTACGGCAGAGGGTAGGACGGGCCATTCCAAGCATTTTGACATGTGAAACTTGCGCCGCAGGTGCCTTCGTTAATCCGGATTTTACGATCGGATGGTGGAGATAGGGCTCATAATAAGGACGGGTTAGGTGGGCCGCGACATCAGAAATCCATTCACTCAAAGGATACCTCCGGTGCCAGCGGTGCCGGTCTGGCCATGTGGCGGGCGTCGCTCCGGTGCCAGCAGTGCCGGCTCCGGCCGTGTGGCGGGCGTTGCTCCAGTGCCGGCGGTGCCGGGTCCGGCCGTGTGGCGGGCGTCGCTCCGATGCCGGCGGTGCCGGCCTGGCCGTGTGGCGCCCTCTGACGAGCGCTGCGTCGCTGTCGGCAGACCAGGTCGACCGCCGCTCAGTGCCCAGGATGCCCTGGCACGACATCTCCACGGGCGTGGTGGGCTCGGCTGCGCGCGACGTGGCGCGCCACTTCATCCAGCGCTGGAACGCTGTCAAGGTCAGGCGCGCCGTGTGCGTGCACTGGGCGAAGGTCGAGTGACACGTGCGCTTGTGTGAGGTGGACTGGGCGTGCTTCCTGTTCTTGTTCCCTATGATGATACGATGTGACAATGATGGCGATGGTTTGGGTGTTGGAGCGTCGTGACTAATCCGGCATGCCGCTAAGCTGCGGCGCGTCATGCATCTTGCATCATCACCCATACATCTTTCTGTTGGACGCCTGCTGCCGGAGCGTGGAACCACGAGTTCCGTTTGAGAGCGTGGACCGTTTGTCGGTCAGCCAGTCATCGGCTGGCGGCGGCGCGGCGTCCCCTCCGATGTGCCGGCGCGTCTGAGTCCGGCCGGCGGGGTGACTGACCCCGCCCCCCCCCCCCCCCGAATAGGTGGAGAAGCTGCGCTTCAACATGGACTACGAGTTCCTGCTGCCCAAGGGCTACCAGACGTGCGACTCCATACCGGAGGTGCTCTCGACGCCCAGCTACAAGACCAAGTGTCAGGTGAGGAGGCGGGCGCTGAGCTGGGCGGTGTGGCACCCGCCAGTTCTGCCGTCGCTGTTGTCCCGCGTGAGGAATTGCTGGTTAACCCAGCCCCAAACCGATGGGGTCTCCTCACCGTGTGGTTTTCGGTGACGTTTCAGCGTCACTGTCGTGTCGTGTGACGCCAGCTGTGGTGTGGCGTCCTGCTGGGGTCTCATGGACGCCTCCGACGCAGTCTCTCCGCTCGTCGCCAGATCGTGCGAAGCGCCTCACAGTGGTCGGCCGGCATCAAGGACACGGAGGACTCGATCCAGCAGGCGTACGTCGACCTGATCAGCCGCGCGCGACACTACATCTACATCGAGAACCAGTTCTTCATCTCGCTCTGCGGCATCAACGCCGACGTCAGCAACCGCGTGTGTGAGGCGCTCTTCCAGCGCATCCTGCGTGCGCACAAGTACGTGCCAGCCAGGGCTGTCGGCAGAGCCGCGTCCGCTCGCTGGGGGGGGGGGGGGGGGGGGGGGGGGGGAGGCGTTGGTGCTGGCGGCAGGCAAACAAGGGTGTGCTGCGTAGGTGTTGTGAGGCAAATATGTGTGGAGCGAACGCCAAGTTATATGTTGAGCATGGAGGCGCATGATCGGTGCCTTGTGTCACGCGGCTCCTGCAGGTTCACATATCAGTCGGCCCACGTAATTCAATCAGACGGATTTGTCTCGGGGCGTAGATGCTGAGGAGTATGTGATCAGCGACTAGAAGGCCATTGGCGATGGTGCTATTATTTTGACGGTGAGGGTTGCGTGCATAATCATCTGCTGGGATGATCACGCCTCTCTGGCAACACGGAGCGCTGCCGTAGCGGCTGCAGTAGACGAACGAGCGGTGTGGATCGACCGAATTGGTCAAATTTAAACAAATTGGCAAAACTGGTAAGACGAGGCCTGGTGTACCAGACAAGTTAAAGGCTGCTCTGTCCTCTCTCAATGCGTCTGTGGGCTGGCATGGTGTCGCCGTCCATTTGGCGGAGTCTCCGCGTTGCCACCGTGCGGTTGCGGCCATGTGGCGCGTGCGCTCGCTGACCCGCGCCGGGCCCCCTGCCAGGGACGGTCGCGGGTAGGTGGCTGGCGCCCGGCGGGTACCGTGAGTCGGCCCGTCTGTGCCTCTGCCTGTGTGCGTGTGCGTGTGCGTGTGCGCGTGCGCCCCGTGCTCCTAGCATCGGCGCTGTTCCTGCCCGTCGCCCCCTGCATTGAACGCAGTGGCGGCGACTTTCACGCACCTCTTTGTGCTGCCAAATTTTTGTGCGTGTCCGTAGCACTTTTCGTTAGATGAGCGCGTTTGCAATGTCACGTGACTGACCACCACAATTTTTCGGTTCGTCTGCCGTGTGTTAGCCTGTAGCCGTGCGTGTGTGGCCTTGCACTGACCGTTGACTCGGTGCGGCGGTCCAGTCGTCAAGAGAAGTAAGTGGCCGACACCTCGTCTCGTCTCGCCTGGGAAACGGCCCGTCTCCGCACCGTGCCCAGCTGTCGCCGCTGCCGCACGCTCCGCTCCGTCTCTGTAGACCCTTTGGCCGCCGTCGCATCCCCGCGCCGTGCACCCCCATCGCATCACCGTGCCGTGTCGGATCGTCACAGATCTCCGATGCACCTCACTCCGGCTTGGCCCGTCGCGGCGTCGGCGCCCGCGGCGCTGGTCGCACTCCTCCGCGCCACCCGCCCTGCAAACGCTGTGCACACTCCGCATGCGCTGTCGCCGATTGGTGGCTGTTGTCTGAGCGTGAGAGCTCGCTCTGTTCGCGCTAATGTAGTGTGGATGCGGCCAGCTGACCTGTCCTGTAGCTTGTCTGGTTTGCCCGCTTTGGGATTTGGCCTGCCGGAATATGTTCGAAGTTATTTTCCTGGAATGATCAGAAGATTCGGACTCCAACGTGCTGCTTTTCAACGAAACAACTTCTGAACACCTGATTTGGCACTTTCGGTTTTTGGCAACGGTTGGTTCTACCTACAGTCATACGCTTTAAACTGAGATGCTGTCAACTCTGAAATAGCTATGTGGTCCTTAAACACCACAGATTCCGCGTCATGGTCAGACTTCACGGTTTTTACAGCGACGAGTGAAAATTATGGCAAAAAGTTCCTATACAAATCTGGAGAGCGTGCCACATTTTTTGCACAGTTAGCTCGCCGGCGATTTTTCGGCAGACTCTCCTGGTTGCGAAATCCTTGATGTACATATGCTATGCACTGGTTTGAACTCCGCACGTGCCGTATGGCATACTTTGTGTACGCAGTATACCAGCGCCTGCTGTCTGGTGTGCGGATGTTGTCCTGGTTAGTAGAGCCAGTTTGCCAAGCCGTCGTTCTATCACCAGCAAGGATTGGCTTTAACCTGAGGATTGGCTTTAGCCCGTGGTATCCCCTGCACCAGGTAGATGGGATGATGGCCGCCTCGGCCGCCGTCAGAGGCGGCGTTTCACTAACGCTGAGCGGAGCCGCCAGCTGACTGTGGCGGATGCGGGCCCGGCCCAGCTCCGTGTGTCGCCGGCGCCGCGGTGACGCCGTGCTGGCCGGGTCAGCCGGGCCGGCCGGGCCGGCCGGGCTGCAGCCACTGCGCCACCGTCAGCAGACGGGCCCGGCTCCGACACACCAGTCTGAGACGCTCTGGCCTCTGCCGCCTCTCGGTGTTGTGCAGCGCGGCTGGCTCGGCCCCAGATATCCCCAGGTTACAGACATCCCCGGCCACAGACATCTCCCCGACCACACACACACACCTGACCACAGAACCCCCCCCCCCCCCTCCGGCCACAGACATCTCCCCGGCCCCAGATATCCCCCGGTTACAGACATCCCCGACCACAGACATCTCCCTGGTCATAGACACCCCCTGACCACAGAACCCCTCTCCCCCTCCGGCCACAGACATTCCTCCGACCACAGATAACCCCCGGCCCCAGACATCCCCCGCCCCAGACATCCCCGACCACAGACATCTCCCTGGCCATAGACACCCCCTGACCACAGAATCCCTCCCCCCACGGCCATAGACATTCCTCCGACCACAGATAACCCCGGACCCAGACATCCCTCCGGCCCCAGACATCTCCCGACTCTGCAGCGGGGTGGTGACGGGCGCCGTCGCCGCCGGCAGGGACGGCTCCAAGTTCCGCGTGTTCGTCATCGTGCCGCTGCTGCCGGGCTTCGAGGGCCAGGTGGGCACGGCAGGCGGCACGGCCATCCAGGCCATCACCCACTGGAACTACTCGTCCATCTGTCGGTGAGTGATGCCGCCGAGGGCGCGCACCCGGAGATGGGTGACGGGCCGCCGGTTTTGTGGGAGGATGGACGTGAGCTTGTGGTTGCGCGTCACGCTCACGTGAGCTTTGGCTCTATTTATTTTTTATGATTGTCGTGCATCAAGCCGTTAAGTCCTTGGCTATGAATATGACCGAAGATTTACGGGGTCTCAGGCGCGACCTGTATTCAGTACGCGCAGGTATGTGCGTTGTTCGTGTTCCCATGTGCATGCGTGTGCTCACTTCTGGCCCCCTTGTGGCAGCCGCTGATTGCCGCTTGTCGTCACTGATGATTCGTAACCGGTGACTGGTGACCTCTGACCAGTGACATGTGACCTGTATCCGGCGACCTGTGACTGGGGACTGGTGACCGGTGATCGGTGACCGCAGGGGCCAGTTCAGCCTGCTGAAGCGGCTGCAGGACCGCGGCGTGAACGACCCGACCGAGTTCGTGAGCTTCCACGGCCTGCGCACCCACTCGGAGCTGGGCGGCAAGCCGGTCACCGAGCTCATCTACGTGCACAGGTGAGGGTCGGTCCTCCGAGGACAGCTGATGGCGGGCGGGGCCAGCCGAGCTCAGGTCACAGGTGAGGGGCAGTCCTCCGAGGACAGCTGGTGGCGGGCGGGGCCAGCCGAGCTCAGGTCACAGGTGAGGGCCGGTCCTCCGAGGACAGCTGGTGGCCGGCGGGGCCAGCCGAGCTCAGGTCACAGGTGAGGGGCAGTCCTCCGAGGACAGCTGGTGGCGGGCGGGGCCAGCCGAGCTCAGGTCACAGGTGAGGGCCGGTCCTCCGAGGACAGCTGATGGCCGGCGGGGCCAGCCGAGCTCAGGTCACAGGTGAGGGCCGGTCCTCCGAGGACAGCTGATGGCCGGCGGGGCCAGCCGAGCTCAGGTCACAGGTGAGGGCCGGTCCTCCGAGGACAGCTGGTGGCGGGCGGGGCCAGCCGAGCTCAAGTCACAGGTGACACCCGGTCAGGTCCACGTCTTATCGAACCGCATCACTGCCGGCACAGGCGCCCGGTCCGTGGCTGCGGATGGTCTGGCAGTGGTCGGCGCACAATGTCAGCCTCGGTGTCGATGACCGGGATCGAGATCGACGCTGTGTTGACGGCTGGATCGATATCGGCCTCGATGTGGGTAGCTGGGGTCGATATCGGCATCGATGTGGATAGCTGGGGTCGATATTGGCTTCGGTGTCGATGGCTGGGGTCGATATCGGCCTCGGTGTCGATGGCTGGGGTCGATGTCGGCGTCAGTGTCGATGGCTGGGGTCGATGTCGGCCTCAGTGTCGGTGGCTGGGGTCGATGTCGGCCTCAGCGTCGATGGCTGGGGTCGAGATCGACGCTGTGTCGATGGCTGGGAACGATATCGGCCTCGGTGTCAGTGGCTGGGGTCGATGTCAGCCTCAGTGTTGATGGCTGGGGTCGATGTCGGCCTCAATGTCGATGGCTGGGGTCGAGATCGACGCTGTGTCGATGACTGAGGTCGATATTGGCCTCGGTGTCGATGGCTGGAGTCGATGTCGGCCTCAGTGTTGATGGCTGGGGTCGATGTCGGCCTCAATGTCGATGGCTGGGGTCAAGATCGACGCTGTGTTGATGGCTGAGTTCGATATCGGCCTCGGTGTCGATGGCTGGGAGCGATGTCGGCCTCAGTGTCGATGGCTGAGGTCGATATCGGCCTCAATGTCGATGGCTGGGGTCAAGATCGACGCTGTGTCGATGGCTGAGGTCGATATCGGCCTCGGTGTCGATGGCTGGGGTCGATGTCGGCCTCAGTGTCGATGGCTGAGGTCGATGTCGGCCTCAATGTCGATGGCTGGGGTCAAGATCGACGCTGTGTCGATGGCTGAGGTCGATATCGGCCTCGGTGTCGATGGCTGGGAACGATGTCGGCCTCAGTGTCTATGGCTGAGGTCGATATCGGCTTCGGTGTCGATGGCTGGGAACGACGTCGGCCTCAGTGTCGATGGCTGGGGTCCAGATTGACGCTTTGTCGCAACAAGTCGCGTGTATCATGTTGCAAATGTGTAGCCACATGACGTCGATCCCGAAAGCCTTTGCTTCTAGTTTCCGGTTGTTACAGCGCACTGGTGCAGTATATGCTGTATACCTGTGTACTCGGCTGTGACAGACTGTGCGTGACTTGTAGGTGACCGCCTTTTCCGATCTGGCTGCTTTATTTTGTCAGCTAGATAGTCGATATGTGCACCAGTTCCACATGAAACGCTAGCTCACTGCACTCTGACACGCCATTGCTCGACCTGTGCGCATTTGTCCCGTTCCGTTTCGGTCAACGCGTCTCCCTGAGCCCTGTAGTGGTCTCTGCGGGCCCTCGCAGCTCACGATTTGTGTGTGTGCGTGTTTTGCAGCAAGCTGATGATCGTGGACGACGACACGGTCATCTGCGGCTCGGCCAACGTCAACGACAGGAGCATGATGGGCAACAGGGACTCCGAGGTCTGCATGGTCGTGGAGGTGAGCACCGGGGACGGGCCGGCGAAGCGGCGTCACGCGCGGGCGCGGCGGCCTGTGTAGGTGCGAGGTCGTGGTCGCGAACGGGCGGTAGCTTGTGACGCGGCAGCCGGCTCGCACTCTCGCGGTGCCGGACTGAGGGACGTCTGGCGGCCTGTGTAGGTGCGGGGTCGTGGTCGCGAACGGGCGGTGGCTTGTGACACGGCAGCCGGCTCGCACTCTCGCGGTGCCGGACTGAGGGACGTCTGGCGGCCTGTGTAGGTGCGAGGTCGTGGTCGCGAACGGGCGGTGGCTTGTGACACGGCAGCCGGCTCGCACTCGCGGTGCCGGACTGAGGGACGTCTGGCCAGGACACGGCCACGGCGTAAGGCCGCCGAGTTCGCACGCGCCCCGTGACGTCACACCGACATTGAGGCCGGTGACGTCACTGACCGGCTGGCCGCCCCGCAGGATCTGGAGTTTGACGAGGGCGTGATGAACGGCGAGGCGGTCAAGGTGGGCAAGTACGCGGGGGCCATGCGCCGTCACCTGTTCAAGGAGCACTTGGGTCTGCTGGAGACGCCCAACGACGACGTGGACGTCAACGACCCGATCAGCGACGCCTTCTACAAGGGCGTCTGGCTGAAGGCGTCCAGCAAGAACACGGACGTGTTCGAAAAGGTGGGTTGGGCACGGGGTGCTGGGACTCGGCTGGCGGGCTTTGGGTCAAGCCCCGCAGGGGCTGTCACATGTCCCTGGTGTATTCGGGAGGAATTGATGAGACCGTGACTGGATGCTGTCCAGATGGGCCAATGCATGAAAGAGCCAGCGCGTGTGCCGACCTCGTGACGGGGCCAGCCGGCTGCTGGCTGGCGCAGCTGGGCGCCGTGCTCCGCTCTGCTGACAGTCGGCCGCCTCCGTCCGCGCCAGGTGTTCCGCTGCATCCCGACCGACTCTGTCAAGAGCTTCGCCCAGCTGCAGACGTTCCAAGCGGAGGTGCCGCTGGTGCTGTCGTACCCGTCGCGCGCCAAGGAGATGCTCAAGGACATACGGGTAGGTGGCGTGGGGTGCTGGCCGGCCGCGCGGGGCCCCTGTGATCGTCAGGACGGCTCGACTGTACCGTCCGATAGCGCTAGCTGGCATGCTGGTGGGTCACCCGTGACTCGCGCCCTAGCTAGAGCGTAGTCGTGCTCGCGTAGCGTCACGGTTTGGTCCGGTACAACCTCTGATTGACAGGCTTTGGCCGTCTGAGCGACGCCATTTTACGTACACCGTTTGAGCTACGCTGTTTTACCTACGCCATTTTAGCTACGCCGTTTTAGCTACGCCGTTTAAGCTACGCCCTTTTAGCTACGCTGTTTTAGCTAGCCGTTTTAGCTCTACGCCGTTTTAGCTACGCCGTTTTAGCTACGCTGTAGATAATAATATGCCTTGAAATGTGCGGTGTTCTAGAGAGACGGTGTCGGCTGGCATGCCGTGTGCCCATTGCTGGGTAACCCTAACCACCTAACAAAGGACGCTACTGCTGTGTAAATAGCTGCGGTGGCGTCCTCGCGGTGGACGCTTCCTCCCGATCCGTCGTCCATAGCTGACACTTCTGTCGACTGTCACACTCTTCGAGCATGTGTAATGGAGCTTTGAAGGCCGTTCAACGCACCTTTCCTCGCAGTTCCGTCGTCCCTAAACTGCATCGCAGCGTGTGCCTGGCACTAACCCACTGCTGTGCACACACCACGGCTCGGCGAGCACGCCATCCCAGCCGGGACGGTGGGCGGCGCCGGCCCAGACAGGCATGCCACCACGCCATTGTACATAGCAGCTTGCAGACTAACCGGCCGGCGGCTGAGCCGCGCATGCGCCGTTCACCGGCCCGCTCACCGCCTCCGCCTGTGACCTAGGGCCACCTGGTGCTCCTGCCCCTCCACTTTCTGTGTGACGCGGAGCTGCGGCCGGCCCGCGGCACCAAGGAGGCGCTCATGCCCACCGCGCTCTGGACCTAGCGGTAGGTGTCGGCGCGCCAGGTAGGTGGCGCTGTCGTGACGTCGGGGCGGTGGCGGGTGCGTACCGGGACGCTCCGGCTGGCGGGTAGGTGGCGCTGTGGCGATGTCTGGGCGGTGCCGGGTCCGTGCCGGTACGCCCCGGCTGGTGCATAGGTGGCGCTGCGTGCAGAGACGGGTGACGGAGCAGTGACGTGGGGGCAGGTGGCGTATTGTGTGCTGAAGTGGAGTCTCGCGCTCTGTCGCCGCTGCGGGTGTCGCGTGCTCCACACAACGCCATGGGACGTCTGGAACACGGCGGGCTGTGCGAGAACGCAGCGTTGCCAACTCAGGTGGCTGTAAGGACCCCTGTCCTCGCCTTCCGCCGAAATTGGAGCCGACAGGCCCCGAGGAGGGCTCAGTGGCGAGTCGTTAGTAGCTGGTCGTCGCTCCCTGCATCCGCTATCGAGCACGGCTGGCTTACGATTCGAAAGCTGGTTTACACCCCACCAACATGCTGAAGAACCTTAAGTCAGCCTTTTTCGAGATAGGGCGTTAATCCTCGTACATTTGGTGTCCTTTTATTGGGGGAAGTGGGCTTATGCCAACCACTTAAATGGTGTGTCGAGCCAATGTATCCGTATAGAGTCGAGGTTGCCAGATTGGGCAAATAAATGTATGCGGTTGTGTCCCGAACGCCCGATTAACGCCTAAGATGCTTAACCCAAATTGCTAGATGGGCTGGGGTACAATAGCAGTTTGGTTGTGACGTTTTGGGCTGTCTAGTATTAGTGTTTATTTATGCTGTGTGATAGTTATGACACACACAAAGACAACCTTATGTCACGCAAAGCTGTAAGCCGCAATGACTTACAGTTCGCTGACCAGCTTTTTTGCTAATCATTGTATGATAATACGCCGCTGCTGCTCATTCTTTTTGCCCGGTATTTGTAACGTCTGGAATTCCTTGTTTCGTCGCCTGCTTGCTTGCATTTGTTGTCCCTGGTTGTTGTGCGTGCCATGAAGGTTTAAAAGTGATAGACCGCGTGCGACTGACCTATGCGAGCGGTAGACTTGCTGTGTGTGCCAGCGCCAACAATCGCGGTACCCACTGGTAGCAGTAATAGCTGCTTCCACACACACATTGTTTTTTAAAAGATCCAGATCATTTAAAGTGAATGAAACGTTGACGGGCGCAGGTGGTATTATATGCGGTGTCAAGGGATTATTTCCAGCCACCAGATTTGGACTCAAACTTGGAGAAAGCGGTTTCATATAGGCGAATGCTAGAATTACGTGCAACCCGATACGCATGCGATGCTCATTTTGTAGCGATTCAAATTCATGCTAAACGTTGAACCTTGCATGTCCCGGCAAACTGGTATGGGCGAAGACGCACTGTACTCACTGCTGGGGCTTCAACCAAACAGCATGCATTGCTGACCCAGTGGAGATACACGGTGCACGGTGCTTGAGACACTTTCCCGGTCCCCCCCCCCCCCCAAATCCCCTGCATTGCGGGTAGCATGTGCGAGCGGTCCCCGCCGCACGACTGCCCGTTCCCCTCCGCAGCCGCTAACCCGGAACGCTGCCGTCGACAGGGTCACCTGGTGGACCTGCCGCTGGAGTTCCTGGAGTCGGAGGACCTCACCCCGGACCTGGGCACCAAGGAGGCGCTGGTGCCCACCTACATGTGGACGTAGACGCGGCGCGAGGCAGGACCGCCCGCAGCGGTGGCGGCCGCCGTCGCCGTCAGCTCCCCGCGGCCGGACGCCAGCGCTGGCCTCCTGTTGAACGTCCCGTGCCGCGACCGGCCCGCGCTGCCTCTCAGCGCAGGCGGAGGTGCCGGTGTGTTTTACCTGTCGCTGTGATGTTCCCTCACGCCTCGCTGCCAGCTGAGACTTGTTGCCGATCGCCTTGCCTTGAGGTCGGGTCAGAGTTGGCGTGTGGACATGGCCGAGAGCTGGGGTGCCCGCGAAGACATGAGACCGCTTGTGCCGCCTGCAGCATGACCTGCGCGGCGTGGTAGGCCTAGGGCTGGTGTTCTGTTTGTGAGGGCCCACGTAAAGACCGGGAGTCAACTGCAGCAGTGTTGCAGCCGTGGGCTCAGAAATGCCCGGTTCATGCTCGGCTAGGCACTCGCCGACCCTGGTGCGCACGATGGACACGTCAGACTGCATTCGCGGCTCCGCGACGCTGCTGCCGCCTGTCGGAGGCGTCGGGAACTGACGCGGGCTGGGCTCGGTCGCCGCCGGCCGGCTTCTGCCGCCGCGCTCGGTCGAGCCGGCTGCGGCCACGCCGACCGTCGGGCTTGGCGGTCGGCTGGCCTGTGTTCCTCGCTCACCGCTCTGGCCGCAGTTCAGGCGGCCGGGGTGGAGGCGGCGCGCTGGTACGGGTCTGTGTCTGGTGTCGGGCGTGGTCTTGGCTCTTCTGACATGGCGGGCGTCGCCGCCGCGTGTTGGTGATTACCATACAATCTGTCGTCCTCCCGGGGGGCGGGCGGCGTCAGCAGCAGACTTCGCCCGCCGTCCCCCGTCGTCGGTCCACTCCCCACCACTGCGTGGCCGAAGGGTCGGCCCCGGCGGTGGCGCTCTGCTATTGGCTTGGGTTCTCTCACAGCTGCATAAGCCTGCACTCACGCTGAGGTAAACGACACAGGGGTGGGTGTTGGTGTGCTGGCGCAGCGGTGCGCTCGTTGATCCGACAGCCGGCGGCTGCGCAGCGCTCATTGTGTTGTGACCCCTGCCGGTCACTCCGCGACGCCAGGCAGCTGCCACCCCCTCCCTCGCCTTCCCTCCACCCCTCGTGGGGCTAGATGTCTACGCACATTAGTCGTCAGGTAGCGTGTTGTTTTTTACTAGAGCAGCTTTATTGCCGTTTCTTTTGTTGTCCCTCTTGTGTGTGAGGAGCCGCCGAGCGCCTGTTTGCTGTTTAAGCCCGCTGGATGCTATCACTATTGTTAAGTGCCTTTCGAAATATTCGGTCAGCTGGGCGGAAGCCGTAGCCGGCATAGAATCCGTCGTTTTCAGTGTGAACCACACATGCGCACCCATCTTGGGTTCAGGTTGGGTTTGGAATTGCTTTACCGGACGGGTCGTGCCGGTAGTATGTCATGTCATCCGCCTCGACGCACCGATGGCTTCTGCGTCGGTCTATGCACGTAATACCCGTGCCAAGTGAAAGCCTTTGGAACCAGCGGCTGCTATATGTATGCGATGTTACGCATACGAATTACAGAGTGGCAGTCAGTCATCAGTCGGTGTTGTCCCCGTATTCGCGAATCGTGCAAGAGTAACTGGCAAGATATGGTCATCGCGTCAGTGTTCAAATATATGTCCTCCACATTTGCGAACACCGTGCGGTGAAGCTGTAGCTGAGATGCCAGCTCATCTGAAAATGTTTTAAGACCGCTGAAAACGACCATGGCAAATGGTTGAGTAACTTTGCTATCAATCTACTGTTAGCGTAAGATAATGCAGCGAGTAATTATCCGCAGCGCGAGCGTTCGGTTTTACTTCGAACATCGAATGTAGTATGCATGCGTGCGATAGGGGTGCAAAAATACACTTTTATAAGAGGGCGTGTGTTTGACACGCGGCGGGCAGTCCGTGGAGGAGGGCTTGCGGCACCGCTGCCGGCCGCCACGGGGCCTCGCGCGGCGTCTGCGGCGCGGCGCGCAGCGCGTGACCAGAGCCGGCCGGGTATGAGAGCGGCGATAGGGTGCAGGTGGTGCAACTCCACTGGGGCGGCACTGCAACTCATTGTTCACTTCCGTGTGGGGCTTTGTAATGATTGCCTTGTGGGGCTTTGTAGTGATTGCCGTGTGGGGCTTTGTAGTGATTGCAAAGCCTCCGTGTGGGGCTTTGCTTTGATATCATTGTAGTGATTGGTTTGCGTTGTTCCGGTGGTCAGAAATATATTGCACCAACAAGCTGCCGTTTCGAAGTGGCGGCACCAGGTGGCATGCGTCCGCTTAGACAGCCACGTGGCCCCTTGGGTATTGGTGGCGACAGCAACGCGATCTTTGTTGCAAGGCAGCCGACCAGGTGCGACGGGCCGCCCACGCGCGCTCGCTCAATACTATGCAAGACATATTTATATAGTTGGTCCGGGTGTTGACATTCATGCGAAGCACACAATGCATAGCCTGAACACGAAAATATCACGTTTATATTTTGGGAATGGCCTCAAATGTTTCGCTCAGTCGATGACTTCATTCACGACACTTCGTGAGCAGAGAATGCTGCGGGTGTGCCAAATCCCTCACTAAGTTGTGCCGTCCGAGTCCACAAGATAATTTGCCCTCGGTCCCGTTACCAGGGCCGTCCCCTAGTGGACCGACGACGTGACCGTGCCCTAGCGGGCCGACGACGTGGCCGTCCCCTAGTGAGCTGCCGACGTGGCTGTCCCCTAGCGGGTTGACGACGTGACCGTGCCCTAGTAGGCTGACGACGTGACCGTGCCCTAACGGGCTGATGATGTGGCCGTCCTCTAGTGAGCTGCCGTGCCGATGTGGCCGTCCCCTAGCAGACTGGCGACGTGGCTGTCCCCTAGTGGGTTGACGACGTGACCGTGCCCTAGTGGGCTGACGACGTGACCGTGCCCTAATGGGCTGACGACGTGACCGTGCCCTAATGGGCTGACGACGTGACTGTCCCTTAGTGGGCTGACGACGTGACCGTGTCCTAGTGGGCTGACGACGTGACCGTGCCCTAGTGGGCTGACGACGTGACCGTGCCCTAATGGGCCAACAGTACCAGCCGATCGTCGCATTTACCCAGCCCAAACAATGCGCCCGTTTTGGAGCTTGTATCCAGCGCGAAAGCTAACCCAATTTATGCAAAGTGCCGTATTGGATCCTCAGCATCTTTCCCTTGGGCAAATGTCAGCTACGCCGAGATCCTGACATAGAAATGCGACACAAATGTACATATAAATACGACATCTTCGTATATCATGCCTGTGAGATAGACTATGTACGCATGGACGATGTTGCGTTAAGATAATTATCATATAAACAAAGCGAATATGATAAGTAAATGAGCCGATTTGTTATCCTATTTTGTGTGTTCAAAACATCGCATCACTCTCTTTCGTGCTGCAAAAGTGCGCTGTGACGGAATTCGCAGCTGCGTTTTGTTAGGACAGGGTGCGATGAAGTGTGCGAAAGGTACGTGATAGACCTAAAGATGTACGCAGATGTCCTTAATGGCATTCGCTGCGGCTCAGAGGCCTATTCGCGTTTCCAAACTTCGTCAGCGTCAAGCTAGGCGTCGACGAATTTCCGCCTGGGTAAAACTTAGCATGCATTGCGGTATTGTTCTTGTTTGGCTGAGCAGTTTTTCGCGTCACACATATTCGCCAACGCAATTCTCCATGCCGCGTTCCCTTTGTTATGCGAATGTCCCTCGTGCATTTGTGAACATAGCATTCCCTTTATGCGGTTTTCAGCATCCCCGCCTCTACGTACGGAATTTTTCGTATGGTGCTCTTTTGATCGAACGATTCGTGGTATGCATTTTCTCACCATTTATCTGATACGTGTGACCCGTTGCGGGAATATCCAGAACCAATAATGGGAGGTGTTTGGACACTGCTGTTCGCATGGGCCGTGCTTAAGGCCGTGGAAGGGGGCTAAAACGCGGAGAGCTAAAGTGATTCTCGTTTTATCTTCGCTTAACGTTAGCGTGACGTCACTGGTGTCACACGTCACTGCCGATACTTCAATGCGCTGCGGGACGCTGGATTTCGGTCGTAATTCTGAGGGGCAACCGGAACATTAAAATAGTCGTATATATACTTTAAAAAAACGTTAGAAAAAGGCGCATATAACCGGAGAGCCAACCATGTGAAATTTTATGGCGAATATCATGATGAATCTTGCAAGCATATGCGGCAAATTGTCTAAATGCAGTGGCATAAAAAGCGAAGACACGCACACAATACTTATTTACAATAGGAAGGTCAGAACATCGCGCTGCCTTTGTGTCCAAAACGAGCAAACTGTTCGTGGCAGACGTATGTGACCAGCGAACCGATCGCGCAGAATTCAACAAGTATAATGACGTATGTGGCAACCTTCAGCCATTCAGCCATTCAGCCACATACCCACGTATGTGGCAACCTTCAGCGCACTTTGATTTTCTACGGCCCCGTAACCCGAGGCCGTGCCGCCGCCGGTGGTGCGAGTGAGCGGCGAGCGTGGCGAGTCTGAATTGTCTGCTGCAGCTGAGCAGCGGGGCTGCAGCGTGGAGAGTCTGTTGTTTGCTGCAGTGCAGACGCCGTGCCCGGTCTGTACCTGTCTGCGGGGCCGACCTTGCTCGTTGCGTACCTGTCCACGTGGCTGCCGTGCTCGGGACGTGGATATCCACGTACCGCAGCGCTCGGTCCGTGGCTGTGTGCATAGCCATCGTGCTCGGCCCGTGACCACCTACATTCCGCCGTGCTCGGCCTGTACCTGTCTGCGGGGCCGACCGTGCTCGGTTCGCACCTGTGCGCGGGGCTGTCAATGCACGGTCTCCACCTGTCTGCATAGTCACCACGAGTGTCGGGCCACGAATGTCGCGTTTAGCAACGTTTTTTGTTGCGTGTAGCAGACGTCGCTATGTTTAGCGCCGAATTGGCATGCGGGTAGACCTACAGATAGAAGAAACCATCTGCAGATAACAGTAGACAAACCGGGATGCAGAGCACGATATGTACCTGATGCGGCCTGTTTAGCCGGAACAGCTTTAACGGTACTGCTGACGAATCTTCGTGCGTACACGAATAACGGTGCGCTCCAATGATAGCATTGATCTGAGCATAGCTTCAAAAGCCGCAATGATGTGTACCCACAGGCTGTCACGTGTACGAAGCCTCACAGGCAGCACGCGCGCTGTGTGAACCTGGCTCATCGCTGGCTGTGTTTCGGCGTCGGTCGTCTCTTGCTCAGTCCTCCGTGGGAACATTTGGGCCCCGTCATAAAAGGTGACCTTTCCCGGTTTAACAGCTTCATGTAACACTGCTGCTCACCCCCGCAACAAAACAACTTTACGATCAGCGCTCAGCGCAGGGTGCTAGCCGGTCCCCGCATATGCGCAGAGGTAACGGAAGTTCTCGTAAGTTGGAGAGGGAGAGATAGCTACTTTGCTTGCTTCCTTCCTGTCAACGCCTATTTGGCGAATGCTTTATTTTTCTGGCTACTTCCCACGCCGATAAAGTTTAGTGGTTTTGTTGAATACAAGCTCACAAAGCACATGAGCACACTTGCCATTTCATTCCATTGAATTGGTTTGCGGATATATTCACCTATCATTAAAATATATTTGTTACCGGTACTTTAAAACAGCAGCCAGGTGTTCAGACTATCTAGCCCCAGGAGCTCACGCTTTGACGTATTCACTTTTCACGTCGATTGAATCTTAACCACTTGACATATAAGCTTGCAATGATACCATCATATTCCTAATTAAATTATGTGCATTCGGATCTGTTGTTATGCGCAGCTGCCCTCAACAGTTTGCTCACTATCGTTACGAAGTTAGTTCGGTGTCCCGGCCGCCCATCTCTGCAGTAGGTCGCGCATTAGCGTGCTCAATTTCCGTGCCGATTTTATTGTGGGGGGGGGGGGGGGGGGGTCGACCGCATAAGCTTGCAAATCACATCATAATATTTAACGTTGAATTCTACGCGATTCGTTTGCCGGTTATATGCACCTGTCGCTAACAATTTAGTCATTATCAATACGAGGAGAACTCGATGTTCTGGCCGTCCCATTTCCATGGTTCTTGTGTTTACCCATGACAATTTCATGTCATTGTTCTTGAATGGTTAGCAGCATAGCCTTACAAACCACAGCTCCAAGCTCGCCATTAAATTCTTCGTAGTTGGCTCGATAGTTATGTGCACCTGGCGTTAACAGGCTGTACGTTATCTACACGAGGATTTCCGATGTCCTGGCTGCCCCGCGGCTTTACGCACTAACGCCAGCGGCCGCGCCGTGTTAACTCTCGGCACCAGCGATGTCACCGCCTGTGCAGAGCGGACGAAACCCGACTAGGGCAAACCCTATGCACGGCATTCTCTTCGCTGGGAAAAACAAAGTATGGGAACAATGCAACCTTACAGCTAGAAATTATCGCAAACTTCCAATTACGAACTTCATGCAGATGACGAAGAATGCTGAAATAGCATAGTTGCAAACGCTGATACGACACCAGATCATTGCACTGGCGTGAGCCGCAACAGGTATTTATTTTGCGCCTGTTCGTCGAGCAACACGATCGCGTGCTCTTCTTTCCTGACCGTTGGCATCATGTAGAGTGACGACAATATTTCAAAGTCTTGTTTATGCTATATATATATATATATATATATATATATATATATATATATATATATATACATGTATAGTCATGTGCACCTCTCGTCAACAAGATGTATGCTATCTGAACGGAGATGTTCGATGTTCTGGCTGCCCCTCGGCTTTACGCACCAATACTGGCGGCCGCGTTCTATATATAAACACACACACACACACACACACACACACACACACACACACACACACACACACACACACACACACACACACACAC